ACATAAAAACTGATTACAATAAATTAATACGCTAATAATCAAATAAAAATTAAAAATATGCACATCATTCAAAGTGGCTATCTGTGGATATCACATGAAAGTGATGTGCTTAAAACTAAGAGTCTTATACTTATTTGTTTTCTTTTATTAATTCGTTACTGTAATTATAATACTTTCTCGAAGTAAATTCACGGAATTGTATACAATTGTTTATATATAAACAATAAACATGATAATCCGAAAAAATGTATGTACACATATTAAAACGATGTAGAAAATATATACATTAAAGTACAATAAAACACTTTTTAAAAGTACATATACTCATATAAATATAAAATTTGGAGATATTCTCCTCGCAAAGCAGTTACTTCAAAACAAAAAACCGTAGATCATTTCTAGACTCGTGTGCTGTGTAAAGAGTGAGGTCGAGGGCAAGGGGGCCGCCCGGTTGCATGAGCAAGCATGGCGATTTTTCCTGATCTGAGAAACGGTAACGCTAAGTTTCGGAATGTAAGATTTTATTGGAATACTTCAATAAATAACGTTCAATATGAGTATTAAAACTTTCTATAACTTAAATGATAATATACGGATGATAAATATCGTTCATTCATTAACAACAGGACGAAGTCGTCGCAATTTCGCATCGAGCTTGCGTTCCTGATTCGTTTCGAGGTCTTCTCTGTGAGAAGTGGAATGAAAGAACATCGGCAAAGCCGATCTTGTAGTGTTGTAAACTCACCCAATGGAATCACTTAAGCGAGACACAACTCACTGCTTTTCCTGACGAAACGAGATGCTGCGACGAAAACAGAAAGTTTGCACGAGCAACAACAGTTCACAATAATGTTAATTATAAAAACAGTTCAATGTTGAGTCCTCCAAGCACCTTGATGTCAGCACATGCAGGGGAACCTGCACAGAAGCACCGGTCATATAAAGATGAACGACTCTATTACAAATCTTGAATCTTTAGCCAACTATGCGGATTTTATAGGAACTACATCATCAATGGAATAAATTCCAGAAGGGCATTTCCTTGCATATATTATATTGCTCATTGGTCATTTAATCCCTTACATGGAAGATCAGCCAATTACAAAACATCTTAAGTTGAGAAATTCTGTATAACAGATATGTGATTCGCTAAACAGTATTTTCATTCTATTGTAACATGTGCACCATTGGTCAATTTAATAAATGACGCATATTAGAATTGCAGCTTAATACATTATATATAAACATAAAAATTATTTTTTACATATAATAATATAACCCATCTTTAATTTACACTTATTTTGTTTAGTATCTACGCACATGTATCAAAAGTAGTACATACATATATTTATTTTCCATTTTAATTTTATATTGTCCAATGGGTACATATAATTTACAAATTCTAATTCTAATAGTTAATATTATCTAGTACTATCAACAAATAAAATGTTTCTTGGCGATTAATTATACGTTTTATAATTTGCACAATTACTTGTTTTCATCAAGAGTATACACCTATTTTTTAATATTTATTAAAATTAATAAACAAATGCAATTACAGTATCAAAAACAATTGAAAAACCATTAAATTATTGTTTAAAGATAAAGTTTTGGTAAATAAATTGACATTAAAATTCAACAATCACTTTAAACGTTAAAAAAATGTCGCAGTGTTTATTTATTTTGTATTTTCTTTTCTATTTATTTTATAAAAAATAATACAATAAAAACGAAAATGAAAATTTTAATTAAATCTGAAATAAATGAAGTTAGAGCTTGCACAAAATTCTCAAATACATACATCTTGTAACAATAAAAATCTACAATACCTTCACAATAATTAGCATAATCGTAACTGTTAATTATAAGTTATGTTGATAAGCATACATTGTTTGATTTAGTTAAGATTACATTTATAACAATCATATATTATTCTTATATCTTATATTAATTGAAAGTATTAACAAAATTGTGACTTAATGTTGATTGTTAATAAATTTTAATAAAGAATTTGA